TAAAAAAGTAGAACATTTATATAGGGGTGTATAGGTCGAGAGCTGGGTATTTAAAAAAGTGGCCAAAAAAAAGCTCTTCCACTTTTTTCTCATTTTTTCCCTATAAAAAGTGCCCTAAAAGTGCCTCTAAAACGCCGAAAGTGGGGTATCTTTGTGGGTTCACCACTACTAGCACTTTTGGTTAATTTGGTTAGGTTATGACAGTTTAATTTAATAATTGAAAAATTGTTAAGATTAATTTTATAATTTTTATTAATTTTATAATTAACTAGGCCTAATAGTGAAGTAAAAATTGCGCGCTGTGGAGGAATTTTGAACTAAACTATGATGTCATCGTTGCCTCATTTGTACCTCCCTTAAGTCAGACCCGTCAGTCAATGTAGGATTGATATTACAGGATATCTGTTCGTAGATATCTATAGTACCATTGACTTTATATAGTACTGAATATACTGTGTACAATATTTTTAGGTTATTCTATCTAAACATTATATAAATATCTACTGTGAAACTTTTAATACCTATTAAATATCTTAACAGACATTTAACAGATTTCTTAGATAAGATATTTTTAAAATATACAGGGTGTCCCGTAACTCTCTGGACACTTGTACATAGCGTTATTCCTTAGGTCAAGACAAACACATTTCACCATAGGAACATGGGTCTGTGGTGTCTAGTTTACCGACTGTCGGCATTTATGTGTTTTTTACATAAACATTAATAAATCCTAAACGGTTTGAGATACAGCTTTGATATTTTGCAAAAATGTTAATCTTATTAAGACCCATTATTGTTAGAAATTATACTAAAAACTCATTAACCTTTTCAAAATGGCGGCCATTTAAAATATTTGATGCCAAATTTCACAAAAACCGTTAACTTTACAAAAAAATTGCAAGAGACAAAAAAGTTTGTAAATTTTATGTAGTTTTCAATGATACCTTATTTGTTAAGATTGGATACAGAGATAATATGTCAAATAATAACAGAGAAACGTGTTGTTTTCGTAATATATGACCACTTTTCTCCATTTAAACAATGCAAAACAACGTAAAAGGAGTATTAGCATTGTTTAAATGGAGAAAAGTGGTCATACATTACGAAAACAACACGTTTCTCTGTTATTATTTATCCAATCTTAACAAATAAGGTATCATTGAAAACTACATAAAATTTACAAACTTTTTTGTCTCTTGCAATTTTTTTGTAAAGTTAACGGTTTTTGTGAAATTTGGCATCAAATATTTTAAATGGCCGCCATTTTGAAATGGATAATGATTTTTTAGTATAATTTCTAACGATAATAGGTCTTAATAAGGTTAACATTTTTGCAAAATATCAAAGCTGTATCTCAAACCGTTTAGGAGTTATTAATGTTTATGTAAAAAACACATAAATGCCGACAGTCGGTAAACTAGACACCACAGACCCATGTTCCTATGCTGAAATGTGTTTGTCCACGTTTGTCTTGACCTAAGGAATAACGCTATATACAAGTGTCCAGAGAGTTACGGGACACCCTGTATTTAACTAGCTGTACCCGCGGGCTTTGCCCCGCTTAACTTTATAAGTGAGCTCGTTCGCATGTCTCAAATCACGTCCTGGTTGAAGTTCGTTCGCTACGCTCACTCACTTTTAGGTTGGAGCTCGTTCGCTGCGCTCACTTGCCTTCAGGTTAGCTCGTTCGCTACGTTAACTCACCTTTTGGTTGCAAATTAGCTGTTGTCATAAATGTAAAAGAAATAATAGTGCTGCACCCTGTTGGTAATCCTTGTAACTTTAGTGCTATTGAACATCATAGAACAGAACCATAGACTAACCAACGAGTATGGCTGGGTTCACACTATCCGTTTTCAACGGTCCCGTTTAACGGGAGCGTTTTTGATGGAAGGCGCCAACACATTGTATCGAATTGGCACGTTCACATTGTCCGGTCGAAACCGGACGAGAAAACGCAACGCACTGTCAACCGGATGATGCTGCCACGTGGCGGGACGACAGGACGTTCGATGCAACCGGACGAAGACGAAAAACACATTCAGTCTTGTGGGTGCATTACATTACATTACATTACATTTATTTGTCATGAGAGCCGAAACCCCCTGACTGCATACCCGGTACCTATCCTTTAGGACATACCCGGGCCCCATGATGTAGGCCGAAGCTTACGCATCAACCTTTAGCACATCATGGGCGGATGACTTAAGGTCATCAGGCTCGCCGGCTGCCGAAGCAGACCCTTCGGAAGGAGGGTTGCCCCTCAATCCTAACCAGGGATTCCGGCTGCTTGTTAAAGCGTCACTCCACCTGGGTTCCACTAGGTCGGAACCTAGAGGTCCATGGTAGAGCGCTCCGACGCATTTAGTGCAAGCAACACTCGGGACCTATCTAATCCCTGACAGGCAGAACCCGCCATCAATAGCCAGGAGGAAGGGGACCGACAGCACGCTGACGGGGGGAATCCCAACCTCCCATTTACACCACTACCCGATCGAGGCCTTACCCATTGCTGGGAAACCAGAGATAACCAGAGCGATAGATCCCCAGATACCCCTGGCGGGCTCGGACCCAGCACCCGATCTACTTCGTTTGCCCGTCAGACCCAACATCACTGCCAGGCCATCAGGGTTTCCCAAAAGGAGGCAGGTATAGAAGTGGGACCCACCCGGATGAACCTATCCACCAGAGGTGGCGACACCCTTGACTCAATTGAGGTTCCGGGAAGAACCCCCCACACTCAAGATAACCATACCGTCCGTACTCAGAGACAGGGATTGGTTTGCATAAGTACCTACAAACCGTTGCCCTCACACTGCGGAAAGTTACGTTGCCCTTGAGTGTCCCCGTGAGCTACGGGTACTTGCCCGTTTTCACCTCCAGGAAAGGTTACTTCCAAAGTCGAGGATTTGCCCACTGAATGCTGGTCGCACACAACAAGCAGGCCGAAGCCCAAAGAACCACAGACACAGGTAGGTTAGAGATTATGATGTACTTCCATCTCTCCTAGAGCTAAACACCCCTCCATCCTGGATAAAGGAATGTCACTGGGACCCAATGCCCAGTCGTCCATGTCTGTGGCCTACTTGAAAATGCCGATACCAACACGGAGCATTTACCTCCCCTCTGGGGGCTAGGTATTTCACCTCCCAGGACGAGGCTACTTCCAAAGTCGAGGATATACCTCACAAAATGTCAGTCGTACACAACAGGTAGGACTCAGTCACAACCACAAGCTACAGGCAGGTGAAAGATCTATGAACTTAATCAACACTAGCAGAGCTGAACACCCCACCACCCTGAATGGAGGGAATGTCACTGGGTACTCTCACTTTGGGTACAACCCAAAGAGGCTGGCTTGTCCAGTCGTCCATAGCTTGTGGTCTACCTGAAGTGCCGGTTCCAACACCGGGCAATTACCTCCCCTCTGGGAGAGCTAGGGTCCGCGTGGTCGCCCAGGCCACGAACCCACGCAAGCGTGGGCCCCCTGCGGTTAGTCTTGTGGGTGCGTTCACACTATCCGGTTGCGTTGTGCGGCGGTATTGAATCAACTAGAAATGTTTGACGTTGACAAGTTTATAGAAAATGTCCACGGCCAGCAATCACTGTGGGACAAGCAGGTAGAATCATATTCTGATAGATCTGCACGGGACAAGAGTTGGTTAGAGATTGGCTCGATGAATCCAATGACTTCTGTTATTAGTTCTCAGTAAACCACTTTGCTTCCATTACACACACAACTTTTATCTTAGACAGCATGACTATTACCTTCTAAAACCAAATTTACAGCAAGTAAGAAAATGTAACTGAACAGCCACGTCTACACTTCGACTTCACGACCGAGAATGGCGCGTGGGATTAACCAACCGGATGACAGGTACGGATAAAGGTCGATTCACACACATCAGTCCAGTCACAGTTCCGGATTGTTCGGACGACTGACGGACCGGTTTAAGGTTAGAAAATAGTGTTATTGTTGTTTAAATGGTTGTGTTTATATTTTGAGTACTGTTTGTAACAATCAACAAGATGGACAATGAAAACTTGATAGAATATAGGTTTATAATTTAAAACTTTTGACTGTAAATTACTGTGAATTTTAGAGACGGAAGACTGACTGAAACAAACTGACGGACTATTGACTGAGAAATTGCGGATGCAACTGAGACTGAACTGTTACTGGACTGTAACGGAACTGTGACTGAACTGATATGTGTGAATCGACCTGTGGACGCGCAACAGTCTTCTCGTTAAAACGCACCCATTTATGACGGATGCGGTGAAACGGATAGTGTGAACCCGGCCTATTTCTTATCTATGACAGAACCAACTTGTTTAATTGAAACAGCTGTTAAGATTCATTAATCCCATTTAAATATGAGTACTCATAAGGTTAACATGGGAAACTCCAGAGCCACTGGGGCGGAGCCCGAGAGTCCGATCAGAATAAAAACAGCTTAGTTTTCCTATTTAATGCCTAAAGAATCAGTGTACCGTACCAAATTTCAGCCTCCTAGGTAAATGGGAAGTAAGAGAATTAGTGATGAGTGAGTGAGTGAGGGCTTTGCCATAGATTACATGTAGATATCTTTAGACATATTTCAACCACTTTGAATATTAAATGAATATCTGGTGCTGACGGATCGACGGATGTACCACGAATACTAGAAAAATACCGGTATGGATCATAAACAATAAACAAATGACGTTGTTGGCTCGAATCCTATACTAAATAGCATTGAACCTTTGACTATTACAACTTCTGTATCCAATAGCCAATGATTGAACATATGTTTTGGCAGTTCCATTTAAGCAAGCAATGTTAAATCATGTTTATTTTCGGGCCAAAAACGTCATTTGTCTATGTTTATGATATATGTTTATATATATTTATGTCTATGTTTCCATACCGGTATTTTATAGTATCCGTGGGATGTACCAACCGATAACATCATCGAGAAAACATCGTTGTTTTTTTTAGTTTTTCGTCTGCTCTCTGTAGTCTACTCACTGACACCTGCAACAACTAATTAACCTAAAACTAATACAATTCAATTCACTAGGCTAATAGGCCTACTAATTCAGATTCAGCCATGGAAAACATTTTGTGAATTTCGTCTATCCTTATCCTAACGTAAACGTGACGTGAATCAATTGTGAAACCTAGGCCTAACCTGAAAATTGATAACATTTTTAAGATTAAAAGATTCATATTAGCATAGGCCTAGCCCAGTAGGTGAATTAGTAAAATGTAAATTCTAAATTCTAATGTAAATTAAGTTAGAATTGGGTAAATTCAAATTTGTTCAACAGGTGAGTCAATGGATACTTTTATTTCGTTTCAATAGGCCTAAGTGAAGTCTAGGATAATAACTTAATCCTAGGATTATCAATTTAACATTAAAAAAATTCGGTTTGTGATTGTGGTTTTTCATACTAAACATATACTTATTGAATCTCCAATCTCCCCCATTAAGTTAGCCTATCTGTTAAATAGAGGGCACGCCAAATTTTAAAACAAAAATTTGGAGAGCGGGTCATCATTAGGGATGACAATGACACTGATGATAGTTTCTCTTTGTAAAACAAAATATAAGTCTTAACTGATTGTTCTTCAACATGAGTGCTGCGGCTGAAATCTTTTACAAAAATTTTAATTGATATTTGGCAGCATTTAGAATAAGCCCTAAGCACATCAACAATGTAGGTAGTACCCAACTTAACGAAGTTTTAGTCATCTTATTTCCACTGATTCTAACTTAAGTTACTATGGTCTAAGTCTAGGCCAGATTAAAATATTTTTGGAGCAACATTATTGGGTACAGTATCTTAACTGGGCTACTCAAATATTGATTGAAACTATCGATTTGATTAGTAGGCCTTCATGCGTTTTTTCACCATCAGCAAGTTTGGTTGGTTAGGTTAGGTTATGATAGTTTAGTTTTATTATTATAGATATAGGTATTTTAAAATATCGATTATTAATCAATATTTTCAATTCTATAACTTAGTTTCAATCAAAATTAGCGTAGCCCAATTAAGAAACTGTAAGTTACCCACATTATTTAAGACTAACTTAATATTTTAATTTTCTTTAGGCCCTAGGCTAAGGCTGTAACGAATACAAGCATGTTGGGTAGAGAGCAACAATATCAACTTTTAGATAGTTGTCCCAAAATCGATATTAACAACAACATCTGTAACCCATCAAGATCGATAGAATAATTAACGTTGATGCTTTGAAAACATCAGCTAGGCCTATTTATCCATAGTCATCATATATAACTAGAACTAAGTTAAGTCTTAATAGCCTAATGTATTTTTAGTAAAGGTTTCTATTTATATTTAACCAAGCCACTTTGCAACATTAAATATTTTGGGAAATTGGTCAAAACCTGCAATAAGGTAGCTATATCAAATTTACATTACATTACGTTGTTGTCTTGTTGTTATTATCTTTTGTTGCAATGCTGCTTTGTTTCATGGTAATTATGTAACTTCTCTTGTTATTGTTATCATTTCATTCTGCTCATGTGCTAAAACACAAATATTTTGTAAATGGTGTAGCCTATCCGTTGATATGAATAAATAAATAAATAAATTCATGTTTCTTTCCAACAAGCAGACGGTAAAGATATCTATGATCCTAAATTTTACTTAGCCTAGTTCTTTTATAGCAAAAACATACTAATTTACAGGAATTTTGTACACACTATCCCGTTTTTAGCTAACCCGTCTTTTTATCAGGATCAGAAAATTTTATAATTTTAAATGGGGTTGCTTTGTAGCCTTTATTTTAAAGGGTTTTTGTATCAGGCTTTTTCGTAAAATCTTCTGATTTTTTAAGCGAATTTCCCATATAGGGAATAAGCTATTACCGTAGTACTCATGGTAAGACCTGGACACGGGACAGATTTTTTTTATCGTTTTGAGGTCCCTAGAGGACATAAACACCATCCGTTCAAATTCATATAATTATATGTGTCCGTTAGCACGATAACTCAAGAGCAAAAATGATCCGATTTTGATGAAATTTGGTATAAACCTACATTTATTCAAACGAGTTTGCGAACCAGCATAATCGGACTATGGGAATGGGGGTTTACGGGGGGGGGGGGGGGGGGGTTATGGAGTAAAAATAGGGTTTTCCCATTTTTTATCCAAAAAGCATAAAATTTAGCAATTTCTTTCCAAACCATTTTGTAGAGCTTAAAAAACAAATAATTTAGTATATTGAAGCGTTATTATGCGCCTAATGGTTACGGAGAAAATTCCAAAAAATTGTAAATTTAAAATTCCCATGTTATTCTTATGGAGAATAAGTAAACTGTTGTAGTTTGCCTGTTTATGAACATATTTTTGTCAAATTTGGAAAATGAATTTATTGCTTTCTCAACTATTAACTATTAACAAAAAAAAAAAAAACAGTTTTACCCTCCCTGATGCAGCAAATCTATGTACTTGTTAAACTAATTTTATTTAAATAGGGAATACATGTTATATTTTTAAGTAGGTAGACATTTTAGTGTAAATCCAATCAGGCAAATGGCAATTCTCCTAATCTGCAGGTTTGCTGCGGCGGGGGTATTTTGTTGATTCGATCGCATACTTAGTTGATGGATACTTATCTTGGTGGGGATTAAAAGGGGGTTGAATATCGGTTCCACACTAGGTCTTGCTGTGCCACCTACAGTTATAGCGTTTTCCCCATAGGTAAATTCTCAAAAAACAAAACGAATCCAGTAAGTTACAGTAAGCAAAAACAACAATCAGACAGACTGTGATACTACAAGTGACAGGGTGTGTGTAAATATTATAATATTATAATAATCAAGAATAGTTTTCTCCAAAATGGTCTTGGACATGTCCATTTTGGACATGTAGAAAACTCTCTCTTCCTTAGTTGAAAATGCTGTCAGTGACAGTGAAATATTCTAATGTTTTGTGTATATAGTTGTAAAGTTTTGTGTTTCCTGTGCCAGTTTGGACTCTTTCCCATTCAGGTAAGCCTGCTATCCTCTAAAAAAATCCTAAAAACCTAGGCCCTTTTGCTCTATGCTACACCCTTTACCTGTATTTGTATCCTGAGGCACTAACCTATTTTCTAGAGTGTATTCTAATAATTATAGGGTACGGTTATAACTTGTTGATTCAGCTAAACATTTTTTTCCAGAAACAAACAATGGTTGTGTGCAAGTATTTCATGGATGGCTATTGTAAGTATGGTGTAAGGTGTAAGTTTGACCACGTTGAACCTTATAGAGGGTACGATTCGTCAAGAAGTGCAGATTATTCTTCCGAAAGACCTCAAGGTACTTGTATAGCTGTTGCCAGAATTTTACCTCTGAGCAAAACTGACCTCACTATGACTTAGTAAACTGAGCGTGCTTAAGTTCGTTGGAATTTTACGCCCTTTGGAAGTCTAATAAAAATAAATATTTTAAATAGACGGAGCGTGATAAATTAGATTAGCAATAAAAGCCTGAATTTTACATTTCACCCCCTGCCCATATAAGGTTTCAGAAAAATTTAGATGAACGACCTAGAATTTTGTCTCTAGAATTTAACCCCTAGAAATTTACCTCCGGAATTTCACCCCCTACGTTAACTTATCAGAAATGTACTCACATAGACATAGACATGTTTTATTTACACAAAACGTTCTTTATAAAGCACAGTAATTCATATTTCATACATAAGAATAGGTGTTTCGTCAAATAGACAATAGACAATAGACAATGATCTTTATTTACATATTCGTTGAGAACAGTACATGCGTCAGAATAATAACTAAAATTTGTTGATTTAATATGTTGTTAAAGCTGGTTGTCAAGGAATTCTTTTCCTGAGTAAAATTGCCTTTCTTGCAGCCATGTTGTTAATTGTTTCTTGAAACGGTGAGTTGGTTCATTTCTAAGTTGTTCTGGTAGGTTGTTGAAATACAGGGCCTCTTTGTAGGATGGCTTCTTTTCGAAGAGACTTAGATGGTGAGGTGGTATTACAAAGTTTGAGGCGTTTTGTGTATTGTGATGGTGAATGTCTGTTTCTTGTTTGATTTGTGGAGATGGCATGGAGAATTGCCTCACAGATGTAAAGTGATGTCAGTGTGAGGATTTTTAGTTCCTTGAATGCACCACGACTGCTTTCTTGATATTGAAGGCCTGCTAGACATCTTATAGCTCTTTTTTGGTGGATAAGGACTCTTTTTAGGTAGTTGTTTGGTGTACTCCTCCAGACCTCCAGACCATACCTGAGGTGTGACTCGACCAGGGCATGGTAGGCTGTTTTTGCGGTGTCCAGACCACCAACCTGCTTCATTCGCCTGATGACATGAATGCCAGAGCGGAGCTTCTTGCAGAGTTGGTCAATGTGCTGTTTCCATGTCAGTTTTGAATCCATGATAATGCCAAGATATTTGGTACTATTTTGTGCTTCTATCCCAGGGATTAATACGTTTGTGTCTTTATTTTTAGTAGAGTAGTTCAGCTGAACAGTTTTCTTTTCATTTAGAGCCAATTCGTTTACTGTGCAATATTGTTTAGTCATGTTGAAGGTTATATTGATGTTTCGGTTTAAAGTTTCTGTTGATTTGTCAGTTAGTGTGATGACAGTGTCATCTGCATACATTGTGGTTTGGCAGTATTCTTGTATCTGGTCTGGTAGGTCATTTGTGAGGAGGAAGAACAGGGCTGGTCCGAGAACTGATCCCTGTGGTAATAGGGACAGTTTCGGAATGTATTTTATGGCGAGTGTTTTTTTCTACATGCTGAATCTCAACTAGTTGCTGTCTGCCATTAAGATAGCTGTGGAACCATTGTTTAGACTTTCCCCCAATACCCAGAGCTCCCAATTTTCTAAGAAGTGTCTTGTGGTTAAGGCAGTCAAAGGCCTTGCTAAAGTCCAGAAACAGACTTGTGACTGAGGAGCCGTCTTCTAGTTGTTCTATTATGTGCTCGGTGAGCTGTATTAAGGCAGTGGAAGTAGATCTTCCTTTAAGGAAGCCAGGGGGGCCCATCCCCCCTAGACTCATGACGCACGCCCCCCCCCAATTGAGCAACATCCCCCCCACAACCATAAATGAGGTACACGACAAATGAGAAACATTATTCCCCCGCTCATTATTATTTGTACAACTAAAAGAAGTTTTATAAATTTTTTTAGATATTGAAAATTTGAACCCAGTTAATCTATATGAATAAAGTTATAGTTTTGTCTGTACAGAATTATACATATTTTGGGTTATTTTTACGTTTTATACATTGAAGAAGTTGAAACATGTCTTATCTCAATGTATGTCCGTCTGTCACGGCCCAGAAGGCATTTTACGCAGCCTACTCTAAAGTAAACTAGAGTACAGATTAAGATTCTAATGGTTTAATTGTATTCCCAGGATTGGCGAGAGCGTGCTTAGCCATTAAAATATGGCCTCACCATTTTGGAAATAAAATAACGGACAATCAAAAACCCAATTTTGTGTGATTTTTCTAGTTTTTTTTTTCTTCCATGTTTACTACATACGTCATTTATGAAATACTAATAACCTGTTAAGAGAACACCGTCATATATGAAATTACGAACAGCTGTTTTGATAAAGATTCCTTTTCCACTGTTCATTAGTCTCAAGTCAACAATCAATGACAAATTAATGTTCAATTCAGCTTACATCACAATAGTAACTATTAAATATCACTAGACAAAATAGCTCAGCCCGTGTCAAACTACAATAATTGGAGTGTCGAACTATCAAAGGTGTACTGTATAAAGCTATTTAGAAGTTATTATACATTCTTTTTTACTCACATATTGTCTTTTATGCTATGTTTCTATATATTTTATTATTCAACTTATTCAGCAACTTTTCACTACATTATTGGTAAACATGTATCTTGTTACTACTGTATTCTACAATTGATCAGTAGCAATAAGTGACAAAATGTAATTGTCAAATGCCTAATATTTCCAGGAACTTCAATATTGAAAGCTGCCACCTCTTCGTTTGGCCACTCTCAACAGAGTTATGACCAAACTCACCAGCATAGCTTCAGTCAACATAGCTTCTCTTCTCCGCATTCCTACAATCAAACTCCTCAACATGCGTTCACTAATCCTCAGAAACCTTCAGGAATGAAATACAACGTTCAGGAAATCATGTGAGTAGCTGAATCTATACTGGTTAGCATTTGTAAATTTATATCTAGATCCTTAGCAATATGGGAGTGGCCCTGAATTGAAAGAGAATTGAGGAGAATTGAAAGTCTGATTATAAAATTGCAACAAAAGTAAAAATTGTAATCGTGGGGGATGTCTTTTTTTTACATAGATATTTAGACTCACAAAAAATAGGATTTATACAACTTCATTGACCAAGAGTATGTTAGTTCTGGATAATAACAACTGGATCGGCGGGGTCGCCAGCAGAGGCTGCATTCTAGGCATTGAAGGGGCACGGTGGACAAAAGCGCCCTGCATTGTCATTCCAAATGTTAGGTGTATTACTCCATACAGTAGACTCCCGCTTATCCGGACTCCTCGGGACGTAGGCCAGTCCGGGTAACGTTTTCCGGTTAACCCAATGTCCCCAAAAACTCGTTAAAACGGACCGATTAAATGTATACTGTATACAGTATTTGCCTTAAATTTAGGAGAGCGTTGTATTTAGACACCTCTCAAACCTGGTCTCAAACACACTGGTCTCAAATCTTTCCCACAAGAACAGTCGTTTCAGTACCACCCACTTCCTGCCGATCTAGTTCAGTTTAACCGGTGTGATGATAAAAATTGTCTGGTTAAAGAGATGTCATTTCCGCCGAGTTTAGTTCGGTTAAACCGATGTCCGGTTAAAAAGTGTCCGGATTAGAGGGAGTCTACTGTATAAACAGGTTTTAAGAGAATACTTCTGTCAAATCATTTATCTTCTTGACTGCCCAATAACAAGTAGTGTACTGTATATATAATAAACTACTTTACCACTAATTATTCAGGTTTCATTCTGTGATTCACAAGATAATAATATCCATAACCTAGATTTTGTCAGTAAAATTTGTGAAAACCTGAATTAACTATACAATCACTTATTTTGTGTGATAAGAAAAAAAAAATTAAAATCATGAAATGCAAAATCAGTGTTTTTATTAGCATAATTGCCTTAAAACATTTGCTAAAACCCTCACACAGATTACATGTTATAAAATAAAATTGTCATTGTAAATTGTTGGCCTAAACCTAAGTTGAATTTATTTTTCCTTTTTGCCGTTTCCCTCTTTGCAAGATGATGTGACAATATCTATAAATAAAATCAGAGTTTTGTCTGTACATTGCTTAGAATCATAAGTTTCGGTTATGTTTTCGTTTCATATGATAGGAAAGCCAAAACTTGTCTTATCTGAATTTCTGTCTGTCTGTCTGTGATGCTCAAGATGGCATTTTACGCTCTCTTCTCCCGGAAAATGACAAAGCAGATCATAATGAAACTTTTTGGATGTATTCTCTACATTCTTTAGAAGGTATCAGGGTGTCCACATTCTGGAAAGTCAGGGATAGTCATGGAAAGTCATGGAAAAAAATTCTGGTCATTGAAAGTCCTGGAAATAGGCAAAAATTCATGGAAAGTCATGGAAATCCCCAACGATGAGAGTGGATTTGAGGGGACCATTCAATGCTCTAGTCGGCCTTAACCCCGACTATTGTAGCATTTTTCAAGATTTTTCACAAATGTTTGACAATTCATTTTTTTACAGTTGTATTAGTTTATGAGTTTTGAGTCTGTATTAGTTCATTGTTCTACCTATTGTACTCCATTGTTATCTATCTATATCTATACTATTATATAAAAATCTAATGGTGTCTGTCTGTATGTGTATTACTAATAGGTGCAAAAACTACTAAACCAACTGGGCTTAAATTTTACAAAAATATACCTACCATACCAAGGACCATTATAGGACTATTCACATTTCGATACTGACCGTAGGCTTTGCCCCTTTGGCTGTAAAAGCTCTGAGGTGAACATTTTAAAAGTAAATATTGATCGGTTTCCATGGCTGCGATGAGAACACTAACAATGTTTGTTTACATTTGCTTTGACATTTAAATGCAAACAAGAAGAACTGCTAAACTGCATATCACAATTTCAGACAGCTGATACAAAGAAATTAAATATAATATTTTCCATAACTATAAGGTAGGTTTATTTTAATCTAACCTTTTATCATGGATTATTTATTCTAAAACTATGTCAATGATTATATAGAAAAAAACTGATTCTATAACCGTTGCTGTATCAACTCCGGCTCTACTTTGGATTTTTTAAAGCGTGTAAGTTATGAAAATAATATTATTGATATGTTTTCATGGAAACAGTATGAATATTACAATATATAGATGTTTTGTATGAATTTGGAGGCTACTTTAAATAAATCCTAACTGCTTAATTAACATGTGTTGGATTAACTTAACATAACTTGCACATCACTTTGTTTTTTATATGTATATTTAGGTAAATTAAGTTATTGTGTTTTGCTAAACCTATGCTTTAATTTAACTAAAGAATATCATCAATAACTAAATTGTACGTCGTTGATTTTTGTTTTCTAAAATCTGTTGTATATGTGTAACTATATTTAATTATCAAATGGTAATACAAAATACTCTTATTTTATCTTAACATAGCTTTCAGTTCACATTTACTTTATTTGATACTTTTATTATTTGTGTTTTGCCACACCACTGATTAAATTAAACCAAGGAAAATATCATAAAACTAAGCAGTACACAGTGTTCTTTTGTTTCTAAAATTAATGAAATGTCTGTTACCATGTTTACTTAATGGTAAGTGTGAAAATGTAAAGGCAATGGACGATGGAACTGATTAAAAGAACTGGTTTAAGATGTTTGTTTATATTTTTGTAGAGTAGAATCAGAGATGCAATGAAACATATACTGTATTTGCTATTACAATTTTTAGTCCTTGATGCTTTGATAATCATATTAGTTTTGTCTGCTGTCTTTATGCTAAATTATTTGTTTAACATTTTTTATAGTACCTCTAGATATAGTTCCTTTAATATTTCAAAAGACTGTATAAGGCACAGAAATATTTCTAAAGCTTATAACAGCTGACTTAGTTTTGCTAATGATTTATTGTGAGTGAAGAAACTGAAGATGGAAGAGTTTGTGATTTAATATAAAAAAGAGTGAAATTAAAAAAATTTAATTTAAATTTAATAATTAGTATTTTTGTAACTTCCAAATTGAAATTTAAAATGTCAATAATAAATTAAAAGATAATATGTTATTAAGGGAGATGAAGGTAAATCATGTATGTCAAAGTTTTATTCAAAGATTTGGTCAGTTTTTCTCATATCAGCCTACACAAGATTTAATATTAATCAAAACCAAAATGGTGGTATCCACTACTTACCAAATTTAAAAGTCATAACTTAAAATTGTTTCTATTAAGGCTATAAAAGTTGAATTTTGTTTCTAAAAGCGTTGGCGGATGTGTAACACTTAATTTTGACACATCGTTTGTAAAACTCCGTCCATTATTATCGGAGGAGTAGTGTTTTGTAGAAAATGACTTCACGTATTATAAGGATTGATGAGTTAATTACATTTCATAATGATTTCCTTTGGATCCTTCAATTTAAATTGTTTATAAATACTTACCTAATGTTTTGCAATTACTTTCTAATACAAATAATAATTAATTGTATTTCCAGTTCATAAAGACAGTTAAATTCTTGAATCACAGACATTATTTCATTTATTTTAAATAAAATTTTGCGGAGTTTTTTGCCAGTAACAGTCGTACACTACTCTCGAATATGGATTTTTGAGGGTCCATGAGGATTTCATCTCCGCCCGACAAAATTAAAAGAAAAACATATAATTTGGGAAAAGTATGAAACATGGGATTTCAATTAGGAAATAAGGTTTATAGTTGTTAATGCTCACCACGCTTCTTCCAAAATAAAATAGAACAAAAAGGGAGATATCCCATCTCCTTGCCCTACTCCTGTGGTGTTATCAAAGAATCTGTGTATTCTCTTTCTTTTCAAACCTTTCCTTTTGTACCTTCAACACTTTATTAACATTTTAATATTATGTAACAAATGAGGAAACACATTGCATTGTAAAATGTTTAAAGGGTAATAAAGATTATTATTCTTACACACGTGTATGAAAATTTCAAACGAATAATGTTTTTGGCCTCTGGGGACATCCTAATGAAAAGTTCAAGTGGTCGCGGGGCTAGGTCTTAGCCGTGGTAATAGCTACTTCCATATGGGGAAAGTAGCAAAAAAGCTTTGCTAGCATGATTATAAAGTGCATAGCAATTTATAGACATCAGTTTTAAGAATCAAAAATGTTATTGTCGTTAAGCACATGGCAATAGACAAAGTCAAATACAGTGTTATAAGATATTACATGTGCAATTTGATGTTTGAATAGAGGGTTGAAATTAATTTAATTTATGATCTACCTCTATAATATATATTTGATTTGTTTTGTTTCTTAAGTAGTATTGCAGGATAGTTGAATATAACAAGTATTTTGAGACGTGTTTGCAAATAAAATAACCTCAATGATAACACAAGAATATTTTTACACTATTTTATGTGATTGTTGCAGCTGTGGAATTTCAAGTTTGTCGTATGTTGAATGCGTCAGGTATATTAATTAATAAATATCATCCTCTTTATGGGACTCCCAATACATCTACTAAGTGTCTGTTCAGTTAACACCATCCTTAATTCATTATTTTGCTTGTATTAGATATTTTAGTTAGGTATCCGACTACAAATATCTGATTTGCATAGTTCAATGTTAATGAAAATTCTAGGCAGATTGTTTTGAGAGACATAACACAGTTAGAGAAGGGAGGCCAGTGGCAGTTGTCTTGCTACAGTCCTCTCAAAGAACTTCCCAACATGCCCGGACTGGAGGACTACTCTCCCGAAGAGTTGCGCTGGGAGTGTTACAAGGCTTTGCAGAATGGCTCATTGCCTTTGTGTGTAAGTATTACAATAAAATACCCCCGCCGTAGCAAACCTGCCGACTAAGCGAATTTCCATTTGCCTGGATTGATTTTCAATTAAATGTATTTAATTAACATTAGGTGCTATGAGTACCTAGACTTGCTGCTACAGGGAGGGTAAAAAGTGTGTTTTTTTAGTAAAATATTGATAACTTAGTATAAAATAAATAGATTTACCAAGTTTGATCAAAATATATCTATAAACAAGCAAACTACAACATTTTACATTATTCTCCATAAGAATAACAAAGGAATTTTAAAATAACAATTTTTGATATAGCCTACAGTACTAAATAATTGGTTTTTAAGCTCTTTAAAAAGGTCTGGAGGAAAATTGGGAAATTTTTTGTTTAAAGGGTAAAAAATTAGAAAAACCAATTTTTACCCCATAAAACCCCCCGTAAAACCCCGTTCCCTTGGTCCGATCATGCTAGTTCGCGAACTCATTCTAGTTTATCCCGCTTTACAACTTTAAACCAAATTTCATCAAAATCGGACAAAAATTACTCAAGTTATCGCGTTCACGGACGTATATATATACATATATACAAATTTGAACGAATGGTGTTTTTGGCCTCTGGGTACATCAAAATGAAAAAGTAAATCGGTCCCGGGCCTATGTCTTACCGTGCCACCTACGGTAATAGCTACTTCCCTATAGGGAAATTCGCTTAAAGTGTAACGGTGAGTAGGCTAGGTCATGCCTTACAAGCTGGGAAGTGTGCTGAAGGTGTTTATCTAAACACTGAAGGCCTTGTACTCACAAGCAGTTTAGTTAAATAAATAGGTCGCCTGAGGTAGGGACTGGGTCAGTCGGCCAGGAAATGGTGCCCATAAAAGCTCTCGAGAAAAAACTATGCATTGGCAAAGCCGAGGACGAGGCAATAACAGGAGCAAAAAAAAAGATTACGATCAAAAAATAAAACGCCTCAGAAGAGAACGCACCACAATCCATATAAATTCCAAGCCTTATGGCAAGTAATAACTTTTGAGAAGAAAAGAAAACTGACAACACCCCAATTCAGTTAAATTGTCATGTAGAAAGAATAGATAACACACAGGAAATAGCCACTTACTTGTTTCAAGATGTTATTGCCACAGTTGCAGATAGAATCAATTACCCAACTCCCCAATTAATTGAACAGAAAGCACCAATAACCAATAACAACTATCATTTTCATTTTTAAGTTGCAACAGAAGTAGAAACAGTCCAAGCTATCCCTTAAATCAAAAACCTCAACGGCCATTAATGAAATATCAGCAAAATTGATGAAACGCTTTAAAGAAGGACTAGTAGGCCCTCTGATAGACATCATAAATAAATCACTCTCAAGGGATTTCCCAGGCCAGCAGAAGATTTCTTAGGCTAACCCTAAATACAAAATTGGTCTTCCAAAAGAAAAATGTAGCTACAGACCAATCTTACCTATACCAACTTTTGCAAACATACCGTATTAGAGAAGATTGTCTTTAAAAGACTATGTACCACCTTGAACAGCAGTCTTCTTTCTAGCCAACAAAATGGTTTCCTTAAAGGCCGCTCAACAACCACAGCTCGAATACAGTTTACAGAGTACTGGACCAGCTTGAAGAAGACTCAACAGGTATCACCCTTTTTCTCAACTTCAGTGAAGCGTTTGACTGTCCAAACCATGAATAGCTTCTGAGATAACTGGGAGTTGGGGGAAATGAAGCAGGATGGTTCAGATGCTACCACAAAAAGCAGCTGGTTCTGCATTGAAAACAACACAATACAACACAACACAATCCCAAAACCACCGACATACATAGGGGTGTCCTACAGGGGTCAGTACTGGGACCAGTACTGTTTCTACACCTGAAAAACGGAAATATTAGAAAGAGACACACTAGCAAATTTTAACAAGGCCAAGTACTACTGCGAAGAAAACGACCAAAAAATAAATCTGTACAAACTATTATTAGCAACAGAAGTGCCACAACAGACATCGCCATACCTGACCTGGAAAAGAAAAACAATACAAAGAAACTTGGCAAGATCATTGACTCCAAACAAACTTTGAAACCCGCACACAGCTCTACTATGCAAAAACCTTTTTCCTACAGTTACCTAACAATGTACATGTTCTCTCACTGATTTGAGAAAGCAAAGTGGCCAATTCGCTCATCAGTGAGACAATGTTAACATTGTCTCACTCTAATTACTTTGTCTCACTCCAGATTTGCAACGTGAAGGTACGAAATAGTGAGCGCGTAACATGCAGGCAACGTCGTATGCGCGCGAAATACGTTGGCAGCACTGGCTATAAATCAGCTGGTCAGCTGTTGTACTGTTGTATTTGTCACTTCACATTAAATGTTATATTAAAAGTTCACTTTTGTGTAAAAATAGGTTATGTTTCTTCACCAATTTATTTGTTTTGTGGTAACTGTAGGAAAAGTATAATGTGCAACTCGAGTTCAAAGTGCATTTGCCTCACTCGAGAAACCATTCCTCACTCGCCTACGGCTCGTGAGTAAGGATTTCTCTCGAGTGAGTCAATTGCTCACTTTTCTCACTAGTTGCATTTTTTCTGCCACTTATGTCATCAGAATGATAAAACAAATAAGTAGAACAGATGCGGCAAAAGTAGCCTATTTCGCTCTTTTTGAATCTCATTTGAGATAGTATAGAGGTCTGGAGAGGGACCACTGCATTCAACTTCAACCTAGAACACGTTCTCATCCAACAAAAGAAGGCAATCAGGTGTTTGGTTGGCATTGGACAAAGACAATCAATCAATCAATCTTTATTTGCCGTAAGGATACGTAACATATCATGATATCATTGAAAAGGTCAGGATTTACAGTTTTCTGACCAAGTCTTCGCATAAATAACCAAATATTCTTATAGGCTAAATATTTACAACTCATACTATTCACATTCTGTACCGAAATGAAAACAAAACTAAAGGAAAATTGTTTACCTGTTTAAAATATTCATCACACGATAAAAAGGTTTTTGAAGAATGTAATTGCAAAACAAAGCCTTAAATTTGTTAATTAAATGAACTGAATTATATACTTTGTTTGCAAAAATTATGTGGCAATTACTAGTTTTACTAATGCGATAGGTCAGAGGAGACTCTCTGGTGCTAGAAGGATAACTTGGCCATGTGGTAAGAGGTAGATATCTTCCCAAGGAGGAACTAATTGGAAGACTACAGGTTTACATCGGATGCCTGAATTTGTAGTGTCTATCAATGAAACAACTGTCTGGGGTGCACAATAATTCAACTTTAGGGATGAAACGCTTTATGGTCTTGGCCTGCCCCTGTTAGATATAAGGTAAGGCGATGAGATTCTAACAGCGCTGTATTTTTAAAACGAGTGTTGTGACTGTGATTATTAAATTTAAGATATTCAGGGTTTTCTAATATATAAACAATCAGACCATAAATGAACAAATTTACTACAATTTGAATGCAGATCTATAAAAAGAGGTTTGAAATGCTCAGGGTGTGTCCCAGGCATAACTCTTAAAGCCCTTTTTTTTAGAATAAAAATTTCCTTTATACTACCAGTACTGCCCCAAAGCACCAATCCATATCTCATAAGTGACTGAAAGTATGCAAAATAAGCTGTCGTTGCATATTTCACAGGAACCTGATTTACAAGACGATTTAAAAGATATACCACACCAGACAATCTTGAAGATAAATAATCTATATGAGCATTCCCTGTGAATTGATTATCAATATGAAGGCCCAACAATTTTACAGCTGTGGTATTATTTAGATCACAGTTAGTGGGAATCTGTTTTAGTGTAAAAATCATGTTTTGTGTTTTTTTTTCATTTAGCAAAAATCCATTGCCATGATGAAAGCATTTGCATTTTGCTTTGTTTCATGGACAAGATTTTGAGTTCTGCAAGTGGGGTTTACATTTAAAAAAGTTGTATTATTAGCATAAAGAATAATTTTACTGTTTACTGCCAATGGAAGGTCATTAAAATAAATTAAGAATAAAAGTGGACCAAGGACTTGTTGAATATTCCGAGAATCTACAAATTATTACTAACTAGAAAACTATAAAAAAAGTTATTTTAACAAAAACCTGAATGATGTTGTTTAATCAAATTCAACTTTAAGACTAACAAATCATCTGTTTTTAAACATTAATTAATATTAATCACAGACATGATTAGAGATATATTACTAAATCTCAACACTTTCCCTCATGTTTATAACTGTTTCAAAAGTTTATTTCAATCCCATAGCTTCACACACGGTCTTCAGTCGTGGTCTGTGCTGTGGTTTGGTCAAACAGTCTGCTAACTGAAATCCTGCTGGCATATGCTTAACGGGCAGTTTGCCTTCTGAAACCATTTCTCTCACAAAGAAGTGTCTAGTCTGAATATGTTTCGTTCTTCTATGATTCTCAGGGTTTTCAGCTAGGCGTATTGCTGCTATGCTGTCTATATTCAGGATTGGCAACTGCTTTAGATTTATCATATCCTTTAGCAATCTAACAAGCCAAATTATTTCCCTACAAGCTTCACTTGCAGCAACAATTTCAGCTTCTGTACTTGAAATAGCCACAGATGATTGTTTCTGACTGAACCAAGTTATAGCTCCTCCACTATACATGCAAACAACCCCAGTTGTCGAACGTCCACTGCTATTGTCCCCAGCATGATCAGCATCACAGTAACATTCTAGCAGTCCTGATTTATGATTTGACTAATATTCCAAAGACAAATTCATTGTACCTTTCAAATATCTTAGTATCCTTTTAACTTTAATCCAGTCTTCATATGAAGGGTTCTCTAATGACTGTGATGCTTTCCCCACAGCGAAAGCAATATCGGGACGCGTTCCGGACACCAGATACATGCTCGAACACATTCTCTGTAGGGGAATTCTTTAGATTTCACTTTTTCTTCAAGGTCTACTTTCCCTACTGTTGTGTCCTTTATGATAGGGGTCATTGCCGGTTTACAGTCTTCCATGCTGAATC